AGTTAAACAATAATACATGATATAAATATATACAATTGTATTATGATGGTAATAAAATATAAGTTTTTAGTTACACAATAAAGGCAATGTTTTTGATGGAAATTAATTCAACCTACCGTATTACTAATAGCATGTATAACATAATATATACATTATACATACATCATAAAATACACTCAATAATATAGGCTGACTGCTGACAGACAGCCAGTTTTGATCTTTGATCAAAATCTTTATTCATAAGAAATGATAAAAATTATTCATCTCAAGTTTAACAAACAACTAATGTTTGTGGCACTCAACGAATAACAATGAGGTACACTTGGCACCTATTGTACAGTAGAGCGATAACCTAAATTCCCTCTTATAAAGTAATAGTTTTAAGAATATATTATTATATAATTATGTACATAGGCGTGTTCAGACCTCATTTGCAGGTCATGCACAACAGTGGCATATCTATAGGGGATGAGGAAACTGCCAATCCTCCCCCCTCAAAAAAATAAAAATTTCTGTTAGGGTTTGGGGATATGCCCTTGAATTATACACATGATGAAAAACAAAAAATTTAATATAAAAATAGAAATTGAGAAAAAAAGGTTCATATTATGCATCAAAATGTAAGTTTGATCAAATTTGCAGGTCATGCCTGTGCATTAYAGGCATGACCCGTGGACACGCCTATGATTATGTATTCACAACATATTTAATAATTATGTTTGTAAAACCCCACATCATCTGGGCTCGCTAGTTTTATYTATGTCTAAGAAGCAAGTAAATAATTTAAAGCACAAACTTAGTTTATGATTTAAATGTTTATTAATATTTTATCAGTATTAATTAATCACCTTTTTTTAATATTATTATTTATCGACTAATAACTATTATGTAGGTTGTAGATACAAGGYACTTTTATAATATTAAAATGGATTAGTTACTCAGATCATAAGTTAATAAAAATGAATTAATTTTATTTGCCATTCATCATAATGCTGCTTTACAAGTACACCCATTTAATTTACCAAGCTAAAATTGTTTTGGTTTATTTTTTTTTTTTTTGAAACCATAAACGTGTAGACCAACTATTTAAATAAAAAGTTTGACAATATAAAAAATTAAATTAAATTATGAAAATGTTAAATTTGAGAAGAGATTACACGGTAAAAATAAAGCGCACATCTTATGTAATAAGTTGGATACATTTTATGCAGAATTCAGTGGCGCCAAGCTCTAAAAAAAGTACTATTGTCAAATTTATTTTCACAAGCTACCACCCACCAAAATTATTCCAACCAAACCCGTGGGGGCTATGCCCCCACACCCMCATACAATTACAACTTTRTAATTTATTTGAAATATAGTGATTCAATCAGTGTTATCATAATTAAGAATTCCCACAATCCGGTTCAAAACTTCAGTTTGGTTTTCAGAAATATCAATAACCACCAACTGTCAGTTTAATAATAAATAAATAATAGGTTATAATATTTATAATCATTTATTAGTCTTTTATGGTCCCATTGTAAAACTAATCTGTTATTAAAAATGTGAATGTTATTGTTATACTATTATATTACTTTATGTCTTATGATACTACCTACGTTATATGAGGAGCCTTAAGATTCTAATGGCCATTAGGGGCTAGGCCCCTAAGACCACCCACAAAACTTAAGTTATTGTTTTAACAATACTTATTAAGGGGGTTCGGCGCCACTGTCAGAATTAAGAATATAACAGTATTATACTCCTAAAATAATTTTAGTGATGTAATGAACTAGAGATTATTTGAAAAAYCAAAATATGACACTACAATCATGTTAAAATGATAATTAAATATATTTTATTTTAGGTCATGATAAAAAAAAACCATCATTTGTATTAAAATTAAAAAACTGTAAGTTACCAAAATATTAAAATTTGTATTTAACTATTGATAAKCATTACATTAAAACTTAATTTTTAGGAGCACCATAAGCATCAGGCATTCTTTCAATGGTATACCTAAAAAAATAATATAATAATTAGAACAAAAACAAATAAAATCCACAGTACATTTACCTTCTTTGAGCAATATACATAAGTGGCACACCAGGAATTTTTCTAATACGCCTCTTTAAATCTCTATCACATGTAGCTACAATATAACATTTATGCTAAAACAAAAATTTATTTTTATTTAAAAAATTTTAAATTATATTAATTAATTAATTTTAATCACTTACCTGAGTTACTCGTTGAACTAAACAATCATCAGCATACGTGCCTGGATGCATACACTGTATTCTTTGGAATCGTGGATCTTTAACAATTTTCAAAGCTATTTTGTACTTTTGTCCTAATTTTTCCAATTCACCAACAATACAATCTGTTACATATGGTATACCTACAAATATTTTGAAATTATTAAAGAATCATAACAATAAAATATAGTTAGCTTACATTTAGCATATAGACAATCCATCATGTTTTGAACMACATCCATTTTATATTTTATAGAAAAACTAATGAAATTGGTGTCTACTAAGATATGATATGGTGGTCCCAACTGTKTGTTAAACTGGAAAAACAAAGCTGAACTTGTTTGAGGTCTGAAAATATTCATGATTATAAAATTAATTAATACACTTTATCATTATTTATTTATTTAGTTTGATTAATTACACTTGACGAACGGTGACTGTTTTATTTTCATTTATTTTTTTTTTTATAATAGTTCTCTTTTCTTCTTTTCTGAAAAAAAAATATAGTAGTTACCAACAAGATTTTTTAAGATTATACAATTACATACATTCGTGTATCTGTTGGTTTAATTGTCTTCTTCATAACAGCAAATTGTTTGTTAAGAATTTTTTTACTTTTCTTGGTCTTAGTCTGGAATAATTCAGATAATTTTTATAGTGACTAAGATTCAGAAATATAGAGTATTTATTTAATAATTAAGGATGGGAGTCTAATTTTACTATAGAGATGCCTAATGGTATATTAATTTAAGAGAACATTAAAAAGAGAWTTTACCAAAAGCCAATTTATCCAACTTTATATATTACAAGATGTTACTTACTCATGAAGGATATCAGGGGAGTTATATAATATAATAGGTAGAGCTGAATATATAATCTATAAATTCTAGTGAGTTGGCCGATTGAAGATCGTTTATCTTGAATGTATTATGTATAGATGAAGATGGAACTAGGGTTTTACAAAATTGTATTGTGTTAAGGTATGAATTGGCTTATGGTTTTTGATTGTTGATGGGTATTTTATTTTTTATAAGAAATTTTGAATATTGATATAATGCTTCACTTTTAATTATGTCAATTGTTGATTTTTTAAAGATAGCATTTCCCTATTTTTTGTCAATTTTTTCAAAAGTGTATCTCGTTGCTATATTATTGAATGTATGAGGCTCTGACACCACAATACATTCAGCAAGCCACTTTGCCTCTATGTACTTWATAACATTCTCAATGTTTCTGTATCTTGAGAATATCTGTTAATAAATATTGTGTAATTATTTTCATTGTGAAATTGTATACATATATATTTTTTCTAAAAAATTAATATAAATAAAAACTGTAGATCTTTCTRTTCTATGATTACTAAGTACTAATTAAATTTTAGGTCCAAAGCACCATTATATATAAATGATACATAACCACGGGCAAGGAAAAATCCATTATGATAATTTTATAGTTTTCTCCTAACCAAAAATCAGATAATTATAAATGGAAAACATATTGTAAATATTGAAAATTGTTATAAACAAGAAACCGATGGTTAAATAATAATGTATACATGTTAAATTTTGAGTCTAAATATATGAGTATAAACTGTTGAACACAATAAAAAAATAGG